CGTAGGTTGCAGTTCAGGTTTAGGGTTTAGGGTTTAGGGTTTAGGGTTTAGGGTTTAGGGTTCAGGGTTTAGGGTTTAGGGTTTAGGGTTTAGGGTTTAGGGTTTAGGGTTTAGGGTTCTTGTCGGAATCGTGCTGGTATTGTAAGCCATACGACAATCTCACGTATTCCGGACCAAGACGTTCAAAATCCCGAAGCCCGCAGAGCTTAGCTGAGGGAAAGTGAAGTACGCTCCGGTAGGCCAGGTTGTTGCTGAACATCGGGAGCATCTGGTGTCAACTAAGTGCCGGCTTTAAGATTTAAGGTTCTAAGGCCCCCTAGACCCTAAACCCCATGTCCTCAGTCTCACCAACCCCCTAGTCCCGAAGATGCTCGACCCACCCTGCTGTCTTGCTGCTGGCTTCCTTGAGTGTTTCGATGCTGGGCAGCTTTCTGGTTTCTGCAGTCAGGGAATGAGAGCACCCGTCAATGGCCGTAGCAATGGTTTAACCTACTACGGTGAATGGAGGAAATCATGCACCACCCGGATGCTGCCTCATGGTACCACCCATCACCACGACCCTGCACCTTCTGTTTGTTCTTTGTCGACGATGTGCCAAAGGTTTGCGCCAGCGGAACCCTAGACCCTAAACTCCCTTAGCCCGAAATCCTAAACCCTAAACAAAGATGCATCTAACATGCACACTCAATGTGGACAAACAACATGATTAACTGTTCTAGAAGAAGAAATTGTAGTTATTTCCATTGCAAATTCGCGGTGCCAGCAAGAGCTGTTATGCAGTAGCATCCGACAAAAATCAGACGAAACCCTCAAACCTCACAGGGTTGAGGATTCTTGTAGTGACGGTATAAGCAAACTAAGGACGTGGGGTTTCAAGCTTACTCAGTGGTCCCAAACCCAGCATTTTGACTTTATGGGCTCCTTGAAGATAGTCTTATGCTGAGTAGAACTTTTTACTCCATGGGTATTGGGGCAGTAGGTTAACGTAAAAATATGTAGCTGAAGCTTATCGGGGTCTGTATAGCGACTAAAGCTTAAACAGTTTTCCTAGGGGCTGGACAGCTCGAAGTACAGGGCTTTTGCTTTTGATTTTGGTTGTCTCGGGTTTTACATTGTCTGACTGAGGGTTGAAGCCATTCGAAGCCGTCAACTCCAATTCCGCCCATTATTACTATACAGCTGCCCATGCCCTGTATTTTCACCGTCTTCCTGTACTGAACTTGTTGCGTGCGAAAGTTGCCTTTAGCACCAACCCGCGGAGTGCAGCTTTGGTCTTACACGCTCCGTGGTAGGGAAGCGCTGGTTCAGAAGGTTTGAAAGCCGGTTCGACGGTCACCCTGAAGTTGAGCTTGAGCTTGCTGGATGTGCAAGCTTCGAAGGTCGGTAACAAGGTAGCGTTGACAACAATATTTGTGTGCATGTGCGGAAATCTGTTCCAAAAGCAGTCGGGCTTCGGGTTTCGACGTCGGCGTTTGGTGTTTGAGTTGCTCGAGATGGTTCACGTCGTTCCGTAAGCTTGTATTCGCCTTTATTTGTATCAAGCAGAAGCAGCCAAGCATTTTGGTGTTCAAGAGTTGCAGCTCAATTTTTCACACCCGGACATGTGTGCTTGCATAAACTCGACACCCTAAATCCCCTACCTGAGCCTCGCAAACCTTTGGCCTGCTGGGCGAGGCCGTGGCAAAGGCAAAACGTTTCGCGACACTCCTGAAGTGTACTACACCCGCAAGCTTCTCTCGGAGAGCCCTGGCGGAATTACAGGAACCACTGTAATGCGCTGAACCCAAGGCCCGCATACGGTGAAACCCAAGCTCAAACCTGAGGCCCTAGGCGTTCAAACCCGGCACTTAAAAATTCAGGCCGAGCCAATCCATGTCTAACACCCAAGGTCGAATGTACCTAAAATAGACCCTAAATTATTGCCAATACTTTTTTTGGGCTCCTCAGTATAACAATACCCAAGAACCCCATTCTAATGATTCAGGCCGCTATACTACTTTAACAGTTACAGGTTTCTCAGACTTCAGGGTTCCAGCTGAAGAATACGTTTGGGGGTTTGCCCAGAGTTTTGCGGGTTTGGTGGAGGGTTTATGGGCTAGGGCCGTTTAGGGATTGGGCTGATGTTGATGTGTTAGGTGATCTTAGGTGTCCTAAGGCTTAAAGTTTTGAACGGTTTAAGTTAAGTTTTGAGGGGGTTAGTTTTGGTTGCTTGGCAAAGTAATAATCTTCAGGAACCGTCACGAGATGGGTGGCTACTTCCGTGGTGTGGTTCAGGCGTACCGCAAGGACTGTCGCGCCTGGGGATTAAGACGAGCCAAGCCCTATAACCTGACGCCAACTAATTAGTTTGGGGCGAAGCTCCCTGCATATACCTAACACTTGCTGAATCCCAAAGCCATCAAGGTCGAGTCGATGGTTAAGCATTTCGGACAGTATACTTCCGGTCTCAAAGTCAATGCCGGCTGGCTTGGGCTAAGAACAAGCCCTGCTCCAGGTTTTGAAGGATTGTGTAGGGTGTTGTAATACACAAAAGGGGCCATCAGAATTTTGGAACTGGCTTGAGTTCTTGTTTGACGCCCGTCCCAAACCGAGACCGCTTTCAAGTTTTGAGTGTAAGCCTGTCGGGCGTTCGCGGTGAAGCAAAAGCGAAACCCACGACAGTTGAGTGTTTAGGGTTTTTAAACCCTCAACCATGTATTGCCGTTGAGGGACGGCTCGCGCCCGCCATGCGCCCCAATGTACTGGCGGAATGCAAGACTGCCGCACTGATGCTTCACCCCATCTACTGGCTTGATTCAGCAGCACTCCAACATGCTGCCCTCTACGTGGAGGCCAATGCATTGGAACTGATGTAGGCACCGCAAGATAGTGGAGCCGCGTCTCAGAATGCCTCCTATGCGGGCCTTACTTAGAATAACCCCAAACCCTGTTCTATTTGTCAAGGTCCCTATATATTATTAAGTGCGAGAAAACTCACCAAGTCTTTTTACATCCAATGAAACAAGCCCGTAGTGTGTACCACGCTGTTGTTGAAAAATACTAAGCAGGACTGTTCATGTTAAGTCAAATGACCTCATAATAAAACACCCTCTATAAAACACTAGATTGACCCACGTATCACATCTCAACGGGACCGCTTGCTCAAGATGTTAGAGCCACTTTGGAGGACGACGGCTTCGGATATGTCCGCCCCGAAGATGCACCTCGGCTCTGAGAGTTGCACATGGAAATGAATACTAGGGACAACATGAAGCACGTTTAGAGTTGAGGGGTTTAGGGTTTGGGTTAAGGGTGGGCTTGGGATTAAGGGTTCGGGGCTTTCCGAATGAATCCCTTGTAACTGAGCCCCATCGGGTATGCATGTTACATTCGCGTCTTGAAAGTAGGTAACTTCTCTCGGTTCTGGGGTTTGGGGTTATGGGTTTTTTGAGCTTAAAAAGTGAAACCGCTTGTATACAGGCAACTAAGTAGATGTCTGAAGAAGCCGTAAAGCGTAAGCACCGGGTGTGGGAATGTACCATAATTCCCAGAGTCTAGGGTCCTTAACGTAATGCAGAATTTATATCATCAACAGTAGTTTCTGTGAGCAGAGCCTCGACGAATCAGCCCTCGTGCTTCCAGGACCTGAAAGTATGGATCCCGACCACAATCCTTATTAAGGGAGTGGGGTTTGGGGTTTAGGGTTTGAGGTAAGGGAGTGGGGTTGCTAGGCAGGGCTCCACTTTGGAGGTTGGGGTCGGGTGCGTGTGGTTTTCATGGTACTGCTTGCGATTCTGCATTAACATAATAGAAGCTTGGTTGATTAGTGATACTGTTCCTGAGAGGCTCCATTGGTTGCTGTATTTTCTTGTAACCCCAAACGCATGCTAACTATTAAGGCCCCCGTATTAGGAACCCATAGTCCTCCCTAGAGTCTGTTGAAGGAACACTTGAAGGAACCCTGTCGGAATTGGTCAGGCCCCTATGTTGGAGTTGTTGAACCCCAATGGAAAACGCTGCGAATCAAAGGACCATGAGAAGAGCAGCGTGCATAACCTATAGGGTCAACACTACACCCTAGGCCCTAAACCCTAAACCCTAACCTATTAGGATCAACCTTAATCCTTAAACCTGAAATCGGTTTGGTTCTGGGGAGCCCTTGGAGGACAATGCATATGTGTAGTTCTCCAAAGTAGGGTTCCTTTTGGGCGTCCTTTTTTGTAAGGGTGCCGTACTATATTGGGGACCTAATGGGGGACTCTAGTTTAGAGAACTCTACCCATATACCGACTGGGCGGATGGACCGCTAGGAGTTTGACCCCTGCCACTCTAGATTGAGTGTACGTTAGGAATCATTGCTCAAGGCTTTGTTATAGTACAAGCCCAAGGGCTCATTTAAAATGACATAGTTTCATTTTGGGGTTTCGGGGATCATAGTAGTTTGCACTCCGCTTGCGGTGCGTTTGGGTTCAAGGTTGGTGCGTCAGGAGTTCGGGGTGTATATCGATCAGTGGTAACTGGTGGCAGGGGTTGAGTTCTAGCAGGATTTGTGGATTTGCAACAAGCTGATTGTTAGCCGCTAGCCATGGCACAATCCTGACAGTGCCGGTAAGGTGAGTCGGCTGCCATATGAAGTGCAGAGCGAAGTCCACAAAAACAGGCAGCCTGCTTTTGGCTCCGTGGGTGTCAGGTTCTGGCGTTTCACCCCTAAACCCTAAACCCTAAACCCTACACTACCCTATGACTTCAGGGTTTAGGGCTTGCCGGGTCGACTCCTCCAGTGTGAATGCCAAGCCCTGAGTCCCACGAAAATGTAGGGGCCTAGATAATTACTAATGCAATCTTGGGGGTTCCTTATGATAATTCTAGTATCCTGGGCCCCAAAACCCTCTTCTAATTAGTGGAACCCCAAGAACCCGAAGGTCGAATTTCAGGGCCCAAAGACGTCGATTGCCTGTAAGTCGAAACAAACCCAAAACCCATTCACTGTCCCCAGCGCCCAGCCCTTAGCCCTATACAAGTAAGGCTGCTTTCATCATCGGGTGCGTTATCAAACCCTAAACCCTAAACCCCTAAACCCTAAACCCTAAACCTGAGCACCACCAGAAATCTTAGGGGATCCAGCCTGAGGGCTCGCCCGACACTTTGAAGGCGTCGCGGGCTCTACTTTCGCGCGACTGACCTTGCCAACGAGTACGTGCCCACGAGCAGTGATTGGGTGAGCTTCCAGGCCACTCGGGGAATTGTGGCAGCAGTGGCAGTGTGGTATTTCTAGGGCTAGTAGTCTGCACAGCAGCAGGAGGAGCGGCTGGGGCAGCAGCATTACGTTCGCATAGACTACTCTCCTGAAAATTCCAAACGCTGTTATCCATTGTTTATATGCATTTGAAGTTTGTGCAATGCTTAGGGGTTGCAGCCTTTGGGCGAAAGTTTCGGTGCACTGTCCCGAAGTCAAGGTGTTTCGCAGCTTGCAACTGGCTTGATGATTGGCAAGATTATTCTCAAGGGTTCCCGAGTAGAGTTGGCGTATCATATAGCCCCAAGCCGCATTAACCTTCTGGAGCCGCTCTACTCTACTACCAGTATGTTTGTTTGTTGTTTGCGTGTTCCCCTCTTTGAGAGTGCATGCATGTGTGTTTATACAGTATGTGTGTGTGTATATATATATATATGTATATGTTTTACCTACCTGTTAAGCGATCTCTTTATCTACCGAACAAAGTAATTACAATTTAAAATACAGTGCAGTAGTATAGTACAATGTAACGTTATATAAGGTTATATGAGGTACATTGAGATAATATAAAGATAGCAAAAGACAGCTTAAGGCAAACACATAGAAAATAGCAGGAACGATGTATAGTACATACATTCAGCAATATCACAGAAGTTAAAGCCACAATGCGGCAAAATAATATAGTACAGTATAGTGTATTATATTATAGTACAACATGGTATGATATAAGGTAATTTAACGAGTCATGACATGGTGTAACATAATTTAGCAAAGTAAAGCAAAAGTTTGCATAGCATAACATCATATGAAATCTAATACTGCAGTATAGCATAAAGAGACATGTTAATAACACTTTTCATATGAAGTTAATACTGATATACGTACAATCAGATAAGCTGCAACAACAACACAGTGATACATTCACCCAATATACTTATACAACAAAAGAAAATATAGCAATACTAATATAAGTATCATAGGAAATCTGAATCTATTATATCATACATTTCATGTCATTTCATTTCGTTCTATATACTTTCACATCATACCATATCATATCACTTTAAATGTATTTGGATATGTGTATTTATATACATGTATGTATGTCTGTATGTATATGTAGCTGTATATGTATATGTATAGGTATATATATATATATATATATATGTATAGTATTTATTTATCTATGTATGTATACATATACATATACATATGTATGTGTATGCATATACATATATATCTGTATGTATATGTATATATAGATATATCTGTATAAATATAAATATGAATATAAGTATTTATACATAAGTATAAATATAAATAAATATATAAATAAAAAATATATATATATATATATATATACGTATATACATATGTTTGTGTGTTGTGGTTGCGTGTGTGCTTTGTATGGAAGTGAGAGTTTCAGAACGTCAAGGATCCTTATAGTTTTTTGCTTATTCAGGAACACCAAATGTAAACAGATTCCACATAGCCGGCCGTGTTCTGTTTCCCAAAGCCTAACATGAGCCGCTGCGCGCAGGTGTACACGGATAAGCATGGAGCCGGCGCATGCAACCTTCGCCACATTGAATGGTGGGAGAAAGATTTGAAGGACGGTTTGTATTCATGTGATGGAATTTAAGAAAGGAAGTCTTGAAGTCGAAGCCTATAGTCATAGATCTTAAGAGTGGGGATATCGCTTCTCTTCCGCCAAGAGGGGGTGTATTCCGGGCTTTCCGGTGTTTCGAGACTTCTGGGCGTGTTCCGGGTCTAGGTTCCGCAAGATCTGCTGATTCAGATGCTCTGGATGGTTGGATTCCGGAATTTCTCGGCTCTGGGTCTGTTGGGTCTTTCGAATCTTCTGGGTTCTTGGCGGTCTATATTTGGGGGTTTCCGAAAATAGGGGACCCTAATAAAGTCCCTAAATAATAGGATCCTTATTATACGGACCCCAAAATAAGGTACCCATAGTTTGCTGAAACTCCCATTTGTTCGGGTTCTGGATTTTGGATATTCCGTCCGGGTCTCGGTTCTAGATGGGCCGCTCCGGATAATTAGAGATGAATTTTATTGGAACAATATAAGTCATAAGCTATAATCATTTTCAAGATCGATTGAGATATATTCCGAAAATGTGGAGGATCTATCCGAAAAGCTAGAGATTTATAAATTGATAATTTTAAATACTCAAAATTTATAATGATATTAACGTTCGAGAACCAAAAATGATATGGATAAGAAATAGATAATATTTATAATACGCAAAATAAAGATACTAGGTTCTAGAAAAATATTATATAGTAATCGAACTAATTGCAAGGGAAGTCGATAGTTATTAGAATGATTATTTTAATATAATTTTCGTTATATTATTTGAAATATTCTCATAATAATGGATGTGATATATAGTTAATCTTAAAATTATAATTTGAGGTAATTGAAAAATGATTATTTTAAAATATTTAAATTTGTATTTTTGATCGAAAATACAATTCTTAGTTTTAATACTGTATTTTCTAATGAAATGATATTATATCGGACGTATCTATTCTTTATATGTGTTTTTGGCTCCCCTAGAATTTGATCTTTTGAGCCGTCTCTTCTTGAAAGGCTCTTATATGCTGGTCTCGTGGAATTAAGAATTCTGGAAATTCTAGTGCCGCGAATTCTTAGTTTCCGGTACTAAATTTTTAGAAATTTCTCGTGGTAATAAAATTTTTGGATTTATGGTAGCTCGAGGGGATAGGTTCGCGATCGCCAAATGTCTGAAATTTTGGTAGGCATATATTTCTAGGACTTTGGTACCGCGAGCTCTAGTGCCGTGCTTTGTGAATGCAGGTGTCTCTCTGTCTGCCCGTATGTGTCTCTGAGGGCCCGTATATCTCTAATTATATGTCTCTGTCTGTGTGTCTGTGCGTGCATCTGTCTGGGTGTCTGTCCGTGTGCGCCTCTGTCCGTGCATATGTCTGTCCGTCTATATATCTAATTGAGCGAGCGTCTAGATATCTATCTATTTATTCAACTGTTTATGCGTGCATCTATTTATTTGTCTATCTATCTGTCCATCCGTCCGTATGTCCGTCTGTCGCTATCTATCTGTGCGTCTATCTGTCTGGGTATCTATCTGTCTATATAGCTGTCTGTTCATCTATCTATCTATTTAATTCCCCAAATAGCTTTAGCTGAGAGGTTCTTGATTTGCTTAATAGAAAAGGGTTCTCTAACGCTTATTTGGATTTCTCATGGCACTACTCTAAGAATCGCTACTCATTTGTCTCCCACTTGTCTCCCACTTGTCTCCCATATTCTGGATGCTCTAATGTCCGTCTGATATCGGAATCGATACTTCTCAATTATTGTTTGGGGTCGAGACTGGTATAATTATTTATCTATCTATCTGTCTGCCATTGACCTGGGAGAGATTTGGATCAATATGAATTTCTGATCCCGAGATTTTCGTCGATTTGCTCCAATAATCATAAATCCTTTCAAAGTCTCCAGCATCAATTCTTTCCCCCTCTATTTTTTGCCTTCGGGCGGGGTGAATACAAGGGTGGGTGGAAAGTCGGTGGGCTGGGTGGGTGGGTGGGTGTCGCGGCTGGGTGGGAGGCTGGCTGGCTTGCGGATTGGTCTGGGATGGATGGATTGATTTGAATTGATTTAGATTGGGTTGGGATGGCCTGAATTGGCTTGGGTTGGTTTGGGGGATGGGTTGGATGCTGGATTGAATTAGACTGGATTCGGGGGGATTAAATTTGATGGCTCTGGCTGGGAATAATGGATTTGACTGGCAATTCTCAAATTCCCTAAGCTGCTGAATAATTGGGATCGCCCAATATTGAGAATTCCAGAGATTAATAGCTTTATTTTTTTCAATATATTCAAGAGAAATAATATTTGACTATTAATGGGCGGGAGAGATTCTCAAAATATTTATTCTAAGAATTCTATATATATAAAGATTCTCGTATAATTTTTTGAAATATATATATATATATCTTATAAATTAGCGAAATTCTATTCTATATCATATTTTAAAAAATATATATTAACATTAGATCTAATTCTAAAAATATTCAAAATATAGAGATCTTATATTATCTACTTCAATAATAAGATCATATATTTATAATGAGTTCTCTATTTAAAAAAATCAGCTCTCATGAAGCTGCCAAAGATATAATTAATTCTCATAGATTATCGATTATTATTCTTCATATTCTGATTGCTTATTTTCAATTCTATATTTAATAGAGAAATCCATTTCGCACTCCCTAGATGAGAATTACAAAAATATTCTAATTAATATCTCTGCCCAGATTGCCCGCTGCATTACCATTATTCTTATAAATAAAAGGATTTCAAATTCATATTAAGAAAAAATCTATAAGATATATATTCTGAATCATTTATATAATTATTTATTTCAATTTCATATCTGAAAGAAATATCCTATATCCTATGATATAATATAGAAATTTTGAATCCTAAAAATTAAATCTTAAATTTGAATATATTCAATTTTTTTTAAATACTATAGCATTATCAGATCTGAAATAGACTATTATAAACTATGAAATTCTTAATAATATCTAAGAAATATTGATGATTTCTAATTTTCTATAATGATTTCAGAATATTAAAATCATTAATAGATTGAAAAAATAATATCTCGAAATACAACTCCCAAGATTATAAATTTCAGAGCAATTTAAATTTCGGTGTACTGTCTCAATCGATTTCAAAATTCGCCTGAAATTCGTAGAATTCAATATTATTGAAGATTCATATATCGTAAATTTTTAGAATAGCTATAGAATATTTATAAATTTCATAATCCATCCTTATTTGAGACGAAATCCCAATAATAATTTGAGATTTAGATATTATAAAATTTAGGAAATAGATTCTATATTAAATAATTATTTTGAAATTATATTATTATATAGATAGGGATATCATCTTTATTATTATCATAATCAAAAAATTATCAATAGTATATCAGAGATTTTTCTAGATTTCGGGAGTGCCTCAAGAAGGCTAAATGAATCCATTAATAATTTGACCTCGTATTCAAATTTCTAGATCGAAATATAAAACAAATCAAGAAAATATAGAATTCGAGATTCAGATTTTCGGGTTCGCGGCTCGAACTCAAGGATCAAAATTCGATTCGATAAACCGATATTCAAATTAGAATTCGATTTCAGAATTGGGAATTCGAAGCTCCAGAATCAGAGATTCAAACTTTAATAATTCAATTTCAGGGTTTTATATTCAGAATTCAGATTCAGAAATCAGACCTTCTCGATTTTAAAAATGAATTCTTAGAAATAGATTATAAATTCATATTAAATATTCCGTTCTGACCTCCCAACCTAATTATAGAGATCTGGTATATATACCTAAATTTAATATATTTCTTCTTTATATATTATAACAAGAAATCTTTTTATTAATTTCTAGAAAATCAAGAATGAAAATAGAAAGTTATCCTTAAATATTTATAATGAAATTCATTACGTGAAAATAAGAAAGATATATAAATGAAGTCAATAAATCTAGAAATTATGTACAAGATATAGAAGCCGTGCCACTCATCCAGTTTTCGTTCGGCACATCAAAAAAATATAAAAGTGTATCTGCTTGAGTTGGCTTCAAGTTGAAGCTGTAAAGAGATTGCCAATAACGGAACCTCAGTTGGCTTCATCATTGCCAGTTAGATTTTTCGGCTCAGAGTCCAGCCATCGCACCTGATTTTCCGGCAGCCACCAGCTGCTAGTTGGATCCACTCGGTATATGAAACCCACATTAGTTAATTTGTGGTAAATGTATGTAAATATAAGGCAAAGTTGAGAATCAAAAAGACACAAGTTTTATATGAGTAGATTATATGATATTCTTTCATTACATCATAGAAAATTACCTAATGCCAATAGAAGTCAACGATCGGATCGTTAATTTTATATTAATTTTTCAAATATACGATTTGCATTCTAAAAAAGATATGTTTTTTTCCCTAAGATTTACCAATAGTTTTCCAATTTCAGCATTTAGAACCTTTCTAGATTGGAGTGGCCCACCAGATTCTACCTCTTCAATCTGCAATCTTCCTTACCGCAGGTACTCCTAGAACAGGACATGTGTCAAGGATAGGAATCCAAAATGACGTCCCACCGTGGCTTATTATATACAATTAGTCTCAAGTAGCCGCACACAACTAAAGGGTTTTCAGAGATCTTCTAAAAGAAGTCAGGGCATTCTAATCAAGAATAAATATATTACGAATCCAAATAAAAATAATTAAAGAGGCTTCACCTATATCACCCGGTATCAATTTACCCTTTCAAAATCGGATGGTCAATTTTCAAAATAATGGTAATTATAATGAAATCGTATACCAACAAAAATTGCAAAGGAATAGTTTACTAATTTGGTCTCCGAATCCTATTTCAGAAGTATATCACTTCATTTTTCTTGCAAAGTCAGCCATGTCATCCCGTGAAAACACCTTCATCCTGAGATTGCAGAATATGGCAAACATATCGGAAATAGTAGATCTCTAGATGTGCTGCTTCCAGAGTCCATAGCTGTCCTTGCTGAAGACAGGAA